GTTGGGGGAAGGGACAAATGGAGCAAGGCCATTGAGAGCTGTTTTGCATAACAACAGCCTTGCAGCTACCCTCTGGTGTGGTCATTTAACATATCTATAGCCTTTGGCTGGTTGCTTAGATATGTTAAATAGCTGTGATCATCTCTGAGCCAGGGGAATGGAAGTAACTTCCCCACCAAGATGTGACTGGGGGCAGATCCCCCAAGCTACAGCGCCTGCATGGGAGCTCAGAGAAGATTGGCTCCAGGACATGGGGGCCACACCTGCCCAGACTCAAGATGGCAGCCCAGTAAAGCTGGAAGGATATGAATTCTGGCATGTGAAGCCGAGTGTGGGAGGAGTCGGAAATGAGGCTGCAGAGGAAGATTGGCCGCGGGGATTTAAAACCCAGGCTTGGCGGCCATAAGGAAGGAGAGAACCATGCGCAGCCCTGAGAAGGAGAACCGTGCTGCTTTAGGAAAGAGAACCATGCGGCTTTAGTAGAATAGGGAGGACCTCAGCCATTGAGGGAGAACCATGCTGCTTTGAGAAGGAGAGCCATGCACAGCCCTGAGAGAGAACCACGCGGCTTTGGCAGAGTGGGGACTCTCCCCTTCCCGCAGCCCTGAGAGAGAGAACCATGAGGCCTGGACAGAGTGGGGACCCCCACAGCTTTAGAAGGGGAACCACCACCTGGTTTTAGCAGAGATCCTGGTGACTCAGCCGAGGGTGCCGGGAACCCAGGGAGGTCTCCCAGTCGAGATAGAGGACTAACTAAGAACCAGAGGACTGTCTGAGCCATGGACTTCGTTTTCCTTCCCTGAGATACGGTACTCTGGACTGGGCAAAGGGGGAAGGAAGGAAGGACTGTGTCTGTTTGTGGGTGCTTTAAGGGACTTTAGGATTTTTGTTAAAGACATTAGGTCATTACTTGAAGTTTGTATAGCATTAAATAAACATTTCCTTTCCTTTTCACAAATCTCAGGCATTGAGAGACGTCTTTCCTAGGGCGGCGGACAAAACGGACCTGGGGCCTTCTTTCAATAATAGTATATTGTCTCAGGCCCCCCTGTTCTGTTCTGTAACAGCTATGGGATCCCTCTTATGGAATATGTATTCATTATCTGTAATAGGAAACCTCCTCTCCCCCGAATTGGTGGATAATAATTAATTTCAAAGCTTTTACTTCAGAAGTAAAAAGAGTTGCTTAGGATTACAAATTTAGTGATTTTGAGTAAGACAGAATTTTAACTTCTATGAGAAAGGAAGTACTTTCTAAAATTGTATTTGAAAAACTTGAGTACTTACTAAATTGTGATTTTAAACGCCATTATTTGAAGGTAAAATTAGTGAGAAATGTTAATCTATTCTGTATCATACAGAAATTTAACCCTTTTATGTCCTGCTTGTCAGTAAATTGTATTCTGATGTATTTTTAGTTCATAATGGTAGTGAGTGGTTTTATAATGTTAATTTTTCGAACTCTCCACTAGAGAGGGAAAATCCAGTGTGCTTTACTGGCTGTTTTAGTAAGCAAGAGCCCTCTGGGGTTCGTTTCTTCTTTAGGGTCCATGCCCTTGAGTTTTATAAGTTCAAAGATGGCACATGGGGTCAGATCTCATGCCAGCTCCAGTTTCCATTCCTTTCTTTCTCAGTGACCTCATTAAGGCTGGTGAATGTTGCGTTGTTTTGTTCTTTCAGTTACTGTGCTACTGTGTGCATTTTGAAGTCAATTTGGACATTTGACTTACTTTTATCACTTGTTTTACTCATTGATAATGTTAGAGTTTTAAATGTTTACAAAAACAAAATGATTTTTTTGTAAATCTAAGTTATGGTTAATTTAGATTCAGTCCTTCTGTGAAAATGGTGCAGTAGATACAGAAGGGTCACTGGTATTAGTGGGAGACCTGTGAGTGGTTCTCCTGATTCTTGATGCTGATGGAGTAGAGCTATATGCTCAAGTCCTTTGAGTTTTCAAAACATGAAGGATGAGTAAGGGAGACTTGTAAAACTTGCAGATTGAGACTGAGGTACATGGAGGGTCAAAATTCCTTCTACCCCCTTATGGATGCTGCCTTGACAATATTTTTAGATTTTCCCTTTTTTATATCTTATAATGATTGGTATTTTTATTGTTATAACAATTTTTGGATTTCTAATTTTTAGCATTAGTTCCCTGATCTTTTACTATGAAACTATACCAATTATTTTTTTTTAAAGATTTTATTTATTTATTTCTAGAGAAGGAAGGGAGGGAGAAAGAGAGAGAGAGAGAGAAACATCAATATGCGGTTGCTGGGGGTCATGGCCTGCAACCTAGGCATGTACTCTGACTGGGAATCGAACCTGCGACACTTTGGTTTGCAGCCCACGCTCAATCCACTGAGCTACGCCAGCCAGGGCTTATACCTATTCTTTTAAAATATATTTAGGTGCTTACTGTGAAGTTGCCTAGTTGTGCTTTTTTGTATGTATTGGTGGAGTATCTAGTTGATTGAGAAACTGATTTGTACAGATGTTGGCTTATGTTTATGAGAAGCATTAGTTATTGATAAATAAAAATGGTGTGTTGTAAATAAAAACTGGGAGGATGGCCAGAGGGAAGGGGAGGTGAGGGTGGGGCAATGGGAATCTGTAATAGTGGAAGCAATAAAAAATAAAAAATAACAACAATAAAAATAAATTTAAAAGTGGTGTGTTGTAATAAAAAAACTACTGAACTGAGAGTCAGAAGGCATTCTTGTTTTTACTTCGTATCACTTAAGTTTGTATTTTGGGGCAAGTTTAATGAACAACTTTGGACCTTTTATATAGCTATAAAAGAGAAGAGGTGAACTTTGATTATTTTAATGATCTCTTCCAGTTCATCTGACATCCTGTAATTTTTTAATGCTAAAGAGTTGCCTTTCTAGAAAGCGAAGTATTTTGTTAGTGATTCTATGTTATTTCCCCACTGTGTAGGAATTTTGAAAGTTGCATTTTTGTAATAACTCAATTAGTATTTAATATATCACTTATATTCTGTTGTATACTGACGATTTCTGAAATCATCCTCAACCTATACTTATCTCTCATTTCTCCCCCATTTCCCAGTCAGAATGTTCCAGCTTATTACTTCTAGAAAGTTCTGCACACTTTTTTACTTCCATATTTTTGTTCATACCATTCCCTTTTATGAAGCCTTTCCCATCCACTCACAGCCACTTTGAGCCCCTATAACATTTTTTGAAATCCTCACCCAAGAATATATTTATTGATTTGAGGGAGAGAGCGGGGTGGGGGTGGGGGTTGAATCTGAGACCTTTTTGGTATATGGGACGGCGCTCCAACCATCTAAGCCAATTGGCCAGGGCTTTAACATTTTGTTCATAATTATTTTGGCTTTATATGATAGTTGTTTATGTATTGTGTTATGCTGTATATGAGACTATGAACTCCTTAAAGGCAGGTGCTTCATTTTCATCATTTTACTAATTTATTACTGAATCATAATATTTTTCACATAAAAAGGACTTTATTAGTATTTGTAGAACTGAATATATAATTAATGAAAGATACAGTCAATGGCTATGAACAGTGTAAAATTAACAATTAACAGGATAATAAGGAAATTTACTTAGCAATTTTGAATTAAAGTTTGTTTTTACAATCTGTGCTGACTGCAAACATTTGTATTGCATGGTCCTTTATGTTGTATCATACCTGCCTCCCATTCATTTGTTCTTACAGACTCATCTACATACTTAACACTTGTATATGTTTTTTTCTCTGTAACCCACTTGCTTTCATTCATCATTATACTTTAGCCTTCCGTGGTCTTAAACTTTAAATAGTATCTAATTTTGTTAAACACATTCTGTCTTTGATTTATATGTATACTTTCCTGACTTTATTTCCTTGATTTTGTTCATAGGCTTATCAACTTTAATCTACTGGTATTCTTTTACACTCTTCAATTTACATTTCTTTTCTCTTGCTCTTTTTACTTTAGATAACTCATTCATTCTGTTTCCTAAGGCACAAGCCCTTTGGTTGCTGTCTCCAATTAGGGTTTAGTTAATGAGTATCTTAGAATCGGTCTAATGTTGGGGGTTGACCACTGTTGGGGGTTGACAGTGGAACTGCTGGCCCTCAGGAGTGAGCTTGGGCTAGCAGTCAGCCTGGTACTCCTCTGTTTGTCTAATGGGAGAATGCTGGCAGTGGCAGTGCAAGCTAGCACTAGCCCTTTGGTTAAAGGAGTTGATACTTATTACAAAACATGTCAGGTGCTAATGGGCATTTTTATAGATGAACTTTTGGGGGGATGAAACTTGAATTGTAGAATTTGTCAAACAATTTCAAAATGGTTGTGTTGTGCATAAATGAATGGGTTAGAGATGATCCCCCTCCCTCAGATTCAGTAATCTTGAGTTAATTATTGCCTGTGACAAATGTATGGTTAGTTTGGACTATTTAAAAGAACAAAGGGCAATAAGATGATGAGTAAACTGAAAAGATACAGGAATTATAAAAGGGATGAGGTAAAGAGTTGCCTATCTTTGTGCTACTTGCAGTCAGTTGAAGGATTTGGGGGAACATTGTGGTTAAGAAAGGGGACTTGAGAAGATAATGTGAGAAAGTAGCACAGAGGAAATTTCTGTTGGACTAAGTTTAAAATTATGTTGTTTTAGCTCTGTTTTTACAGTGCATCTCAATCTCCAAGAGTTTACTGTGTTACCAAATGTTTAAGTCAGAGATACTTGCGTAACAGTAAAGAGTAGCTAATACAGTCCTTAAGAAGTATACTGATATTTTAATTGTATTAACAAAATATCCTTTTAAGGATACAAAAGAGGAAAAATAGTGCACTTTCTATTCTGTTCTATCAGATATAGTAAGTAATCAGGAAATATCCAGGACGCTTTCCCTAGTGTTTGTAGAAGCATTTCATAGTAGAGAACAAAATTGCATATTGACTTAAACAATTTTGGTTAATTTTGATTTTAGAAAATATTAAGCCATTTATTTTATTTCAACAGGTATCTTTCAGATGAAGGTGTTGAAGCTTGCACAAGTTCTCCTGACAAACGCAATGTAAATGACATCATCCTGATTGCTCTCAATGTAGGTTTTATTTTATTAACATTTTTAATCTGGAAGCTATATTCATGAAAAATGTTTTATAGAATAAACTGGATTTTATGAGTAATATGGAATAATAAATACTTATTTTTTAGTGTCCATTTTAAGTTTACAATGATGTTTATTGAAATTGCTAATCTCATATCAGCAAATTATTAGAAATATATATTTCTTTTAATATCTGTTACCTGGCATCCAATGAAAAGGGGAAACATGTAATTAAAACTTATTTTTTTAACCCAGTGATCAGTTATATAATTTTATAGCATTTACATTATCTGTATAATAGCAGTAAAAACTGATAATATTTATTAAAACAAATTGCCACTAAATTAACATAGGAACTCAAGTTATAGCTTTTTAACAATTGTATTTATGATTGGAAAATAATATTTTCTGTTGATAAAAGTAACATATTAAAGAATACTTCATAAAACAGAAAATAAAAAAATTTAAGATACTTATAATTACTGTTAATGTTTTGATATATATTTCTTTCAAATCTTTCTCCCTCTACCCATTTGAATAGCTACATCATTTCCATTATTGGGATTGGCTTTTGGATTTTTTTGAAGAGTTATAAAAATTATTTTAAATATACATATAAGTAAACGAATATTGTGTTTTCTTCTTGTTTTTTTTAATCATTACTTAAGAATATATTTACTGATTTTAGAGAGAGGAAGGGAGAGAAAGAGAGAGAGAACATTGATGTGAGAGAGAAGCATTTATTGGTTGCTTCCCATATAGACCCTGTGGGAGATAGAAACAGCAACCTAGATATATGCACTGATTAGGAATCGAACCTGCAACCTGTTGGTGTCTGTGAGGAGTCCCCAACCAACTAAGCCACCTGGCCAGGGCACAAATATTCTTTTTATAATCTTGTAGTTACATTAGTGGGAATTTTCATGTTGCCTTTACAATAACAATCTATCAGCCAAACTTAGATGTTATGACACATAATTAAGTTCATAAGAGAATTACTGTCTGACATAATCATCATATTACTGTAAAATAGATGTAACATAAAGCAGAAATGGCAGCCACTGATAACATTTAAAATATAAATAAATATTTATATAACTGCATATAACTTTCTTTTCAAATTACTTAAATATATACTTATATAATGAAATGAATTTAAACAGTTACAGTGTGCTTTGAAATCTCATTTATCAGCTTCTTTGAATTTTATCAATAAGACTAACAAGGTCTTTTTTTGTTGGTGTATTTCTGAGCTAACTTTTTAATACAAGATTATAATTTCTTTTAAGTAAGCATTAGTTAGAAAGTATGCTATCTATGACTACGAATGGAAATACTCCCTAGTCACTTTTATTTTCTTCAACTTGCACTCAAGTTAGTGAATTCTATTTTCAAAGATATTGTAAAGAACTCTATTTTTGTTTATTTTAAAAAATCCAAAACATGATAAAGGGTTTTGTGACAATATCCCGCTCTTCTTTATTTTTCTTGTTTATTTACTTAGGTAAATAGCAATGAATTATTTATAATTGGGTGTGAAATTTAAACAAAACAGATCAAGATGAAGTATTTGCCCTGTACACATGAGAAGTGGATGATGACCATCGTTTTCATTATTAAGTAGTCTTTATAATTTTCTCTGAAATATATAGTTGAATACTCCAACCTAAGTTACCATATAACAGGAAAAAAAACTTTTAATCAAAATTAAGTCAACAGCAAATAATGTACTTACTTTTCAAGTTTATCACCTTTAAAAAACTTAGACACTTAATACCAGCAGTCCCCAACCTTTTTGGGGACCCCTTGTGGGGATCCCACCAGGGACCAGTTTCGTGGAAGACAGTTTTTCCATGAACTGGAGTCAGGGCCTGGGAAGACAGGAGGGGGAGCTCAGGCAGCAATGGCATGGTGTTCATGGACAGTGAGGAGCGAGGTTAAAGACCCCTGATTTATAGTATTTCTGTTGAATTATTTTTCAACTTTTGAATGTTGATCACTAGTTAAGAAAGACATGGATTACTGGCTCTTAATGAATACAACTTATTACATATGTGAATAATAACCTATGCACAAGCTTTCTTATGTTCCCTTTCTCTTGTTGGGGACACACTGAGCTGGTTCCTTTCACCAGTGATGAATAATGCAGTAAGATGTAAACAGTGTTTCTGCCCAGGGAATTCCATTAGAGGCTGGTAGCAAAGGCTTTCTTTGGACTGCTCATGAAGGTACTTGCTTCCTACATGAAACAAAATTCTAGACTCCCCCTGCACTCCAAAAAAACATGTGTTCACCATAAATCATATTGTTTATAGATAGTCTAGGCAGTGAACCACATTTTTAGTTAGGAAACAGTTCAAATGCAAAGTTCCCAGATACCAGTCCAGTGCCAGCCTTGCAAAAACAAGCCCTTATGAAGAGAGTAGCCTCCGAGCTGCTAGTGATTATTTTCTGTGCGGATTTTCATGTTGAAAAAGAAGGTTCTTTATTTTTTATATTGTAGAACATGGAGTAAGAATATTGAGAAATCCAACATGTAGTTTTAGTTTCAAATACATGAATTATTCAGAAAAAAATTTTAAAGTGCTAGCCGAGTCTTACTATGAATATTATGTATTAGTAAAACTTTAAAAACAGATTTTTTAAAGGTTCTGTATCATATAAAATGACTTGCCAGATAAACATTTTGTTGAACTTAACTTGAATAAATAGGAATCTTTTGTGTGTGTACATATGCATGTGTATTTAAAAGCTAAATTTTTCTCTGGCATAATTTTTTTATGTTCAATATAAGTGTATTTTTGGATCTATGTGTACTAGTGATCTTGGTGTAATGGCATCTGAATCCTAAAATTGTCTTCTAGTACTGTAAATTGACTTTGAACTTAGTATGTTTAAAGATTTGGTAGTTCATTTTCATTTTGCTGAAAGAGCAATGAAATAACATTAACTGTATGTGTGTATAACATTTTTAAAAATTATTTAAACTTGAAGTATGTTGTCTGTTTTGAGCCTGACAACAACTTTGTGAGATAGTTGCTGGGTTGGTGACTCCTCCCTCCAATCTCCCATTTCATGGAGGAATAGATTAACTGGATTTAGAAAAAAAAATTTTTTTTTAAACATTTAATTTATTTTTAGAGAGGGGGTAAGGAAGAGAGAAAGAGAGGGAGAAACATGTCAATGTGTGGTTGCCTCTCGTGCACCCCCTACTGGGGACCTGGCATGCAACCCAGGCATGTGCCCTGACTGGGAATCAAATAGGTGACTCTTTGCTTCACAGACCAGCTATCAGTCCACTCAGTCACATCAGTCAGGGCTGATTTAGAAAATTTTTGACAGTATCCAAGATCATATTAGTTAATGACAGTTTGCAGTGAATCAAATTTTAGACTAATGCTCATTTCTACTTTTATTTCAACGCCTCATTTTCACTTAGTTTAGTTCATAATTATTGATAAAAACCAGAAATGAGGGACAATGGTATATCATAAAATTTGTATGTATTCTGTTTCTCACATATATTTAATGTTGCTGCATTTGAGTGACTTCAAAATAATGCCTATGGCTTTATGAACTGTTAGTTATATTATTGACTTTTCAGATGATAAACTACATGTTTTATATTCACTAAAATAAACATAGCTAACATGAATTAAATGCTTGTTGTTTGCAAGCCATTGTGCCAAGTACTTCTCATGCATTAACATTTAATCTTCAAAACAATCCTAATACAGGGAAGAGTAGTATAAGAAAGTATTTTGTCCCCATATGTCACTCAGTATTTTCAAAGTGAAAAGGCTATGATTTGAAGTATGGTTTATAATTTGTTCACTCTGTTATTGGATGGAGGCTGCAAAAAGGGTAAGCCCAAAGCATTGTTACACAAATGTGTGGATTTGGGGCTTAGTTTGCCTGGCAGTTCATTTGGTGGGTTTTGGTTGAGGAGTGATTCTTGCATTATGTTCAGAAATAAATTATGAATCATGGTAGTAAAAGACTGGAAAGATCTGTGGGGACATAGACTTCCTTCTTAAGCTGACCACATATGGATATTTCAAATACAATAATATCCTATTATTATAGATGTTCACTAATAGATAGTTAAGACTCTCCTACTTCTCTATATGTATTCCTTTTATATTACAATAATTTTAATCATCTAGTGTTTTCTCCTTAAGTCTAACATAAATTTCTCCCTATGTGATTAAAGGCACTCTAAGTACCTTTAATCTATTTCTCTTAAGGCATTGCTCTTAAGGCAGTGAAGAGCTACTGTTTGCTATATTTTGAGGAATAACAAAATAATACAAATTTATTAATCGAAACTCACACCCTCAGTTTTCAAGATAATGTCTTAGCTTAAATTATTAGGCCTTTTTCATGAGTACTGACAGTTTTCCTATGAACAAATTTCTTACCATTCTTTTACTTTTTACTTCCCAAAGAAAACAAAAACCCTGAAAATTCTGCTTTTTATGAAGACTGTGGAATTGAAGTTCTGGTTTTATGCCAGAAATGTGATAACTCTATATTAGGCCTTCCTTAAGTTTTCCCTTTTTGTATTTTGCTTTTTAGTTTTCTGAGTAATATGTATTTCTGCATTTTTATATGGTTAGTTACTTGTTTACCAACTTCAGTTTTTATAATTTGTTTAAGCAAATTAAATACATGTTTATTAAGGGTAACTCTCAGTATAATTTCTTGTTGTTGCAGTGGAATTCTTCCCTGGGATATTTGCATGTTATATAGCTTTGTTATGTTATGGGTGTTATAGCCTATAGAATAATGTGTTTTCATGTCTTTGCATATCAAGCTTATATAGGATGTATATAAAATGTATACATTTTATGAATTAATTTGGTTTTGGATTGTGACATTACTTTTATAGTAAGGTTATAGTTTACATAAAATAAAGTTTTAGAATTCAGTTGAGAATATTAGTAAGTTAAAAGGTTACCTAAAGAGGTATGACCAGAAATAAGGCTATCTGTGTATTAATGTTCAACCTGCTGGTACACTTTAAGTAACACATGTGTGGGTCTGTGTTATTTGAAAAGATTGATTGTGTATGTAGATCTCATAATCAGCTAAAAGACATTTATTTAAATTTTGCTCCATAAACTTAAGTAATTTTATCTTTTGTTTGTGACTGGGATTAAATTTAGATTAACTTTTCTTTATAATTATATTTTAATAATAATGTTTTTTATTTTTAGACAGACTTGAGAACAATTGGCAAGAAATTTCTCCCCAGTGACATCAATGGAGGAAAAGTAGAAAAGGTAAAGAAAAATGTTAACTTCTTAAATTATGCTAACTGCAACAAATATGAATATACACTAAATTACTGGAATTATTTTTTGTCAATAGAAAGTGCAACTGCAAAATATTTTGGAAGCAAACAGGACACAGAGTCATTATTACAGTGATTTCCTATACACATGGAAAATTATTAGGACTTAAACTTTTAAACTTTTGATGACTTCTAAACATTTTTTAAATATTTTTGTTTTAAGAATTATAAGTATGGCATGTTTATGTATGAGACTTACCAGCTGTTATCAGAACTGAGGATAAGGACCTTTTCATACTTTTTAATTTTAGTTGCCTGTTATGTTTATTTACTGAACTTACTAATGTTAAATTATGATTGTAAGAGATACTAGGAGTAATTTGACAAAGCCATGAATTTAGTTATTTCTATCAATTTTCATTTACCAATGTGTAAAAATATGTATTTATGTTATAATTTTTCAGTGATTCTTCTAAAGTTCAAGGACACAATGTTCAGATAACAACTAATCACTCTTTAACTTCTTACTCATTCCTATTTAATTTCTTCTTTTTATTTGAAAATGCCTATAAATTGTGTGAGCCAAGAATTTTTTATGTGTTTTTGGTCACATGCTGTTGGTGTGTGTGCTGTTGGTTATTTTTTTGAATGATTAAGAAACATCATTAACCCTAATTTAAATAAATACTTTCAATATGTATTATGTTTGAATAAGTATTCTTATTTTAATACTCATATATTTAAAATATAGTTATTGCACCACAGATATTTTAAATTTTAGATAATTTAAAAGGTCTATTATGTAACAACATTTTTCATGTTGTTAATATTAATTCATTCATGCTATAGATGGTATTTGTTTAGAACTGTAAGAGTTTCTAATCCACACTAGTTTTTTGAGACAGATACTCAGAGAAGAGGTTCCATAAACTCCTCAGCAGTTAATTTTATTGTTTAACAGCACTGCATCAGCAACCTTTGATTATATTTTAATCTAACTTTCTTATGCAACAACTTAAAGCCCGTAATGTCTTTATCTTCCCTCAGGGAAATGGTGAACATCTGGTTACCTTCCCTTGGGAATAATTCTTCGTATACTTAAAGACTTGTAAATGTCACTGCCTTAGCTTTCATTTTTGCTAAAGCCATTTATCTTGGTTCCTTTGTTTATCCTCAGTGTCAAGTTTTTTGTTCAAATTCATTGTTCTCAGAGTTCTTTCCAGTTTTTATTTCTTTTTTTTTTTTAGTTGTGGTAGTAGTTCTCACACTTCATTGTACACCAGGATCACTCTGAGGCTTGGCTAAAACAGCACACTCCCACCCCCACCTTCACCCCCACCCATGCTTTCTGATTTAATTAAACTGGGAGAGAGCAGGAGACTTTGTATTTTTGGTCAGGTTTCTGTGAGTTGTTAATTCTTCTTGTCCAGGAAGCATACTTAGAAAATTGCTGAGTCATAGGGCCGCAGATGAGGCAGCAATCTTGGACAAGTTTTATGAGTGCAGAAATTTTTCACATGAAAAGTAACTAATATCAAAGCAGTGTCTGCACACTGTTACACTAGTTCATGTAAGACAAATTTGAAGGTTTCTGGATATTTTGTTTTTCATTGTCTCTTTATGTGTCTTTAGGGATTCTGAGAACTCGCCTCTGTTCTGAACTTATGGGGATGGTGAAGATAAGACTTTACTCTGCACCCTCCACTTTCTCAGAACAGTTTTTCCTTTAAAGTCTATTATACCATGGTCTTTTCAGGACTTCCTTTGAGTTTAGCGAACAATACTAAAAAACAACTTAAAAATCTTTGAATGTAGAAATTTTTGTGCTAAATTTTATCGTTAAAATTTTCTTAATGTTAAGTGACTTTAGCTTATATGTAAAATGATAAGATATGAAAAATAAATCCCTTTTTAGATGGAACAAATTGAGTTGGATGACCTCCTGCTCTTCCTCTTTGACTCTAACTCTATTTGTCTTTTCACTACCTACTTCTAATAGCAAATATACTTCCCTTTATAATAGTAGTGACAATGTTTTGACAAATAATCTAATAGAAATTTTGGAATCTGTTCCACAGAGATTGCTCATTTTATTTGTCTTTAGCTAAAACTCCATACACTATATAAAAATGTAACTGTTTTAGGCCAAAGTAAATGTTTAAGGCAGGGGTGTCAAACTCATTTTCACCAGGGGCCACATCAGCCTTGTGTTTGCTTTCAAAGGGCTGAATGTAACTTTAGGACTGTGTAAATGTAACTACTCCTTAGCAGTTAAGCGGGAGCTGGGCACTGCCGCTGGGTAGAAACAAGGTGCCAGGCAGATAAAACAAGGTGGAGGGCCGGATTTGGCTGGTGGGCTTTGTGCTTGCCACCTGTGGTTTAAGGAATATATTTTTGATGTGAGTTGAATTATTTGTGCTTCTTTGTAAAATAAGACGAATGCAGTAAAAGCCACTTTTTGGTGTCTTTATTGGAAGGTTTATTAACCAGTATTTTGCTATGTTAATGCTGAATGAATCATTTTAAAGACATGGTTCCAGTCACAAAATTATGTATATTGTAGTTCTTATTTAAAATAAATTTTAAATAAAAAATATTAAATAAATTTGTTTTAATTTGTGCATAAGATGTAGGACAATGTTAAGTAAGCACAGTATTTGAATAAGTAATCTGTTTGTTCTTTTGAACATGTCAGATTTGGGTATAAAAATACTATTTTCTAGTTTTCTTTTTATATTAATAAAGAATGAATGAATGAATGAATGAATGAACTGGGTTACCTAATGATTTCCAAATAGATCATACTGGAATTTAACTTTCCAAAAACTAATGTAGACAGAAAAGTTAAAATGTAAGATAGGCTAGCTGTCTCAGGAAGCAGACACATGGCTGTCATGTGTTTCAGATAGTGTGTGGAGAGGGAGGATAAATGATAGGGACTGGCAATGTATTGGAAAGATACATATTTTAGATCATCGGGCTAGACTTAAATCTTGATTCTCTTGCTTATTAGTTTTTGTGACTGCTGGCAAGTTTTTTAATCTTGCTAGATTTTAGTCCCTTATTATTCAAACATTATCTCCCTTATGACATTGAAGAGTGACGTGCTAAATGTTGTGCACTACATATGACAGGGATTGGGGACTGGGAGCAATTTAGGGTGGTGTTTTTTTCCTAGAGACCTAAGAACACATGAATCCTTATTACCTTGTTTGGGTATCTTGTTACTGAGAGATATCCAAGGACAACTGGACATTTCATTATTAACTGGGTTTTGACCCCCACCCTAATGCAGAACTCTATTAATTGAGCTATTATAAGTTCTGATGGTAATAGAATGAAAGCAGGACAGAAGCCATACTCTGACTATGTCTACCAAGTTCCAAGCTTGCCAGCGATATTACAACTTTTAAGAAAGAAAACTCAAGGACAGTGTGAGGGTTGGAGAACACGTGCCCCAATATTTAAGAAGTAAATAGTTAAGAAGCAAGCAGGCTGTGTTAGGAGCAACCTTACTTAGTCTGTGTTGTCCCTTCGAAAGGGCCTCAGCCATGTGTCTTCCATGCCCTTTGGAAGCTTATTCAGTGGGCCTCAGGGTCATATAATGTTCTGGAGAATCTCCAGGACAGAGAATAATTCTCTTTGGAGGAAGATTAAAGGAGTGTGGAGAGGATTCTACACTTTCTTTAAACTTCCTCTCCTGCGTGGCCAAAAATAAATGCTCATGTAGTGTGTATTTTTTCATTATAATTAGTAAGACTTAGTTCACACCATTCTCAACATTGGGGAATGCGACGGTGGAAAAGAAGAATGGAGAACTGGTAGGTCTGTGAGGAGGTAAGGAAGGTTGTGGGCCTGTAGCTAGGAGAAGACAGTTAACCCTGGACACACTGAATTACCTCTCTCCTGTTCAAAGGCACATCTTGGGCCTTCAGTAGGTCATGGTCATTTGGAGTTTGAAACTGGTCTTAATAATTTCTATTAATTATCACTGATTAATTTGGGAGAAAGTAGAAGGGCAAACAGATCAAGTAACTTTATCATTAATATGGTTTTGCTCAGGTACTTTTCTCTTTTGTTCCATTCACTCAACATTATTTTGCAGTTTTGTATTTTCTCCATAACCTTGATCCAGAGTTTTCAGACAAATTTAAAAAGTGGCAAGAATAGGAAGATGACATTTTCTCTGGGCTTCCAAGTCTGAGAGATTTCCCCATAGGCAGTTTATGATTAGTTTTTAGGCCTTAAAGATTTTGAGAGTGGAGGGATATGCGGTGGGGAAGCCACATTTTGCATCTTATTTTCTGAGTTTTTCAGGGCAGGCTTTGCATTTCTCCGATACTACAAAGCCCTGAAACATGGTAACTTGTAAGCTAAAAGTCATGGAAAAGTCATGACACAAAAGAAATAAAACTATAATTCTTTTTAACTGTTTAATATTTTTCATACTCTTCTCTAAGATTAATATTTTTCTCTAGTTATTTTCACTTTTAATCTTCCAACCAGTGTGTCCAAATCAATTATAAAATATAGGTTAACATAAAAAATTTGTTACCCAGTCCAGCTATGTGATGACCTTATGTGTTACTGTGGAGCCATAACAAGAAAGGCTTTCAGTTCTGTGTTTTACTTTTTTCACATAAGTTCTAGGACTGACAGGTTGTATATGCCTTTTTAAATGTGAAACTGATTAAAGAGTTAATTTTCCCAAATGGAAGTGACTGGCTCAAACTTTAGGCAATTCCAACATCAACCACAAGATGGCTTCACTGCCTTAAAATTGACAGTCTGGAGATAAGGTGTTTGTTTTTTTTTAATTGAAAAAATTAAGTTTTAACTTAAATCAAATGGTATTATTTCATATATATTAGTTTACTCTGTGCTAAGTAATAGAATTTACTATTATTCCTTTTAGTGAGATATTAAAATTAAACATATGCTTTTCGGAACAGTGGATTAACTGGAAGACTGATTTTTACCATGCTTTTT